ATTTCTGGGTGAATTACACTAACAGGTGTTTTTCTCAAGAACTCTTTATTTATGATTAATTGGGGTCTTCTTGGAAAAGGTTCACATAGACATGCCTATGGATTACGTTCAAGTGTGTGTAGTACCTGATCTCATAGGCAATCTCCTTCTCGTACTTCTTCTTGTTACGGGCACGGCAGCAGCAGAAGAGGAGGAGGGCGAGAAGAATGAGAACCAGCACAATGCAGATTACTACACCTGCGATGACGCCAGCTGTGTTTGGGGCTGCAAAGGGCCAGAGAGAAAGAGACTTTGAGATAAACAAGTTTAGAGTCTAAGACATTACCCATAAGCCCATTCACCACATCACTGTAATCAGACAATGAGCGAATGACAAAGATTCACCACCTTGGATGTTGGCTGAAATTCAGACTATGCTATTTTAATCTTAAAAGAGGAATAGGCAGGTTTATGAAGACTTACGTTGTGTGATGTTGACCTCCACCAAACACTCTTCTGTTCCAACACGGTTTTTAGCAATGCATTTGTATGTTCCTGAAGCTACCTCAGTCGCGTTCCTCAGACTCATGGTGCCCCCGACTGGATCTGTGCACAGCAGCAGACAAATTCCTTATTTTAACTGAGGCTTATCAGTTTATCAAAATTGTAAAAAAAAAATAAAATAAAATTCAAGGTACATGAGACAAAGGAATTTACCCAGCACTGCCAGGGGCGGCAGCAGTTTATTGCCTGTGGTTCTTTCCCAAATGTACTGCAGTGGTTGTGTGCCCTCCACAGAGCTACACCTCAACACCATATCTTTCCCTGCATGAGTCTGACCCTCTGCATAACATCTGGGTTTAGAGGGGCGCACTGTGGAAGAGGAAACAGGAAGATGAGATCATTAGAAAAAAAGAAAAAACTACTAAAAGAGCCAGCAGCTTCATGTATAAATGCTACATTTGAGATATTCCAATTTGCAGACTTATCAGTCAGCAATATAAATCGTTCTAATCACATGGTGAAATTAATTAATTGTCTGTGAATAACATTTGAATAATATTTTTTAATAATTAGTAGTAGTAGTAGTAGTAGTAAGAACAAAGTATTTAAGTTAACAACAAAAAAAATGTAATGCATAAAAGATAATAAACACAAAGGCATAAAACTAATTTAAGGTTACAAGATATCATGCTAAAGATTTCTAAACACATCTGTACAAAGTGTATATTGTCTTGTGCATATAAATCTACGCAGTACATATGAGTATAGCAAAGTTTTATGTATGATACCACAAGTTTAGGCAATTATCTCAAGGAGGAAAATGTCATCATTTCACTCCGACCAGCTAAAAGCTCAAATATCATCTCCCATCTCGCATATGGTGCATCATGGATATAAAGGACGAGTCCCTGAGGCCCTTCTTTCACACTCCACCCATATTCATTCTCGCTGCATCATAACTAATCACAGCATAGGAAGCCATGATCACGGTAATGGATACAGCTGCTGCTATTACAAGTGCTGTCAATCAACTTAAATAAAATCAGAGCACAGTGGGTGTCAACATTCTTTGAGATAAAAGAGCGAACAAAAGCAGAAGAAGAGGGTGGGAAAGTGGCTGGGTATTGTAAGACAGACAGCATGTGTTTTCTAAAGAGATATGTATTAAAAACAGCAGGGAAAGTGGGTGAAATCTATGTATAGAAGGAAGGAAGGGAGGGTGGGATAGAGATTAGAGCCCGATCGATATGGGTTTTTTGGGGCCGATGCCGATATTAGGGAGTAAAAAAAATATCGATATATCGGCTGATATTCTTTATATGTAGGCTACATAACAGTACACTATAGTCAAAAGTTTGGACACGCTTCCCATTCGTGTCCAAACTTTTGACTGGTACTGTATACAGAATACAGTATATACATAAACAGAATATATATACACAAACACATATTTTGCAATGAAAACTCAAATGTGGTGATCAAACACTTGTGTGTCACTATGTGACAAATAGGCCTATGTAATGAAAGCAGGGTATTTAACAATAAACTTTATTATTCAAAATGAGTCTGACATCAGTGCACTTAACAGTAAACTTCACTTATTATAAATAACTTAAACACAAATAGAACAAAAAACTTGAATTAAAAAAAATAAACAAGATAACCGTGTAGTGCAAGCTACTGCAAACCAACAGGGGCAGGTTTAAGCAGGAAGCACAGCTTTTCCAAATGTAAACATCTAAAATGAATAAATAATAATAATGAATAATATTTTTTCACAATTTCTGTGTTGTGTATATTCTGGTAATCAAATAAACATGCAGAACATGAGGATTCGTATTTAAAATAGTTTTTTGCAGTTTAATATTCACAGACACTAGTCTATATAGCGATTTGATTTAAGTGTAGGCCAACTGACCTGCTTTTTATGTATTCATCAAAAATAAGACAAATTCCATGAAATTCCGCGTGATACAGTAAATTCCGTTTTTATGAATGGATTCCGCGATTCCGTCTGCGTTTTCCACATCGTGAAAATCACAGGGCCCTACTTATGTAGCAAACGAGTATGATAAGCTCATTGTGAGAGTAAAAGACGGGAACATTGTTTATTTACTTTATAGCATTGAGTTTTAACAACTAGGTGACATCGTAGCGTTAAATCATCATTCAACAGACTCAAGCTACCACCGCACTGCCGTTTATTGGACTGCAGAAAGATACTAACTTTTCAATCTGCTACGTTACTGACTGTACTGACAAACTATGCTGTCACCATGTCTGCGCCGCAACAGGACGCGACAAAGTGACCGTTGAAAATCATTTGAACTTTGTGTCAGTACGTCATAAATAGAATGAGGCATCAGTTTGCTGTCGGGATTTGTTGTGTCGCACCGCATCCAGTGTAGACAGCATCACTGATTATAATAGGTTCTATTGTATTTTGTCGCGCCGCACCGCTCGCGTCCAGTGTAGACACCCAGTTAGGAAATGTGATGTGACCGATGTGATAAGCATGAGTTCTGGGTATAAAAACAAGCACTGACTGAGTGGCCGCGATCAGCTACGGTGGCCGGAGCCGTAATGCGCTGCAGACACATGCAGTGATGCACAGATCATCAGCTCTAACGTCACTGAATCTGCCGTTAAAAATGAACCATCCATTCATCATATCATCATGCAAAACTAAGAATTAGAATCATTGTAATGTGACGATCAAATATAGGTGCGGTTGGGTGGCTGGCGGATAATTTATTTGAAGCAGCGGACTCAGGTGAAGTTTGAGCTCATCCGCGCATCTCTACACTGACCTGGGTCGCCAGTAGCAAACAATAGCGCACACTCTGCTGGACAAACTAAGTAATTACACCATTTAGAAGCATATCATCTACATTATATGTTCTGTACAAAAAAATGTAATATCGGCGACATATAAGCCGATACCGATATATCTGCGACAGGCTCATATCGCCCAATAATATCGGCAAAACGATATATCGGTCGGGCTCTAATAGAGATATGGAAAGATAGTGAGAGATTGAGTGAGAGATTAGATGATGGAGCATAGGGACATAGGGAGCTCTGTGTGGGAAACTAAAGCCTGCACAAACAGACCCCCTCCTCGCTTGGCAGGAGATGACATGAGAATTCAAAGACAAACAAAACTTCAAATTAAAACCAGGAGGAGACAGATACAGAGCTCCTTGTAAGGAGGGCAAAGAGACCAAACGAGAGGGAGACAGAGTCCACACAAATAAAGAGATAGAGAGCAAGACAGACAGAAGAATCAATAGTTGCTCTCTGTGATTCCTCCCAACCTTGGGAAGGGTGTTGGCATTTGAGTCTCCATCGACATCATCGTTTGATAATAGAAGCTGTAAAAACAGATCTCTGGGGCTGCTGGGACAGAGGCTTAGAGACCTGAGGATTAACAGCAGGCAGGACTGAACAGCAATTTAATAGGACGAGGGGTCAGAGCACAGCAGCTTCCTCTGACGGAGAAATTAAATGTGTGGTGATGGACAGGTGGGCGGGAGAAATCCCCACACACACACATACACACTAACAATCTGTATCCGTAAGTTTGAGAAAAACAGTTTGTTATAATTATTAGACATTTTATATAAGATGAGGTTGTTTTACAGCTTAGCAGTGTGACCAAGGCAAGCATGTCGGTATTCTGAGGTGATCACACTTGACTGGTCATAAAGGCGAGAAGAAAAACAAGAATGAAAAAGTCAAACTGCCCGATGCAACTACAGACGCATAAAGGTGTGAAAAGAAAAAGGTCAAGCAGTTTTATTTTCTGCTGTCTGGGAAAAGATGAATTTACTTTTTCCACCTTGAATGTTAGATAGTTCACCCTAAGTTAACAATCTTGAAGAAGCATATCATTTGCAAGTACTGATGGCATCAACAAAATGTTGTACACAGCTTCATTCAGTCTGTGAAATAAGTTATGATGAGACATGTTTAATTTAACATTTTAAAACATTCCAATGTTTCAAACAAATTTACTGTAAAAATTACTGGGACAATGAACGTATAATGAACTTGCCATTTCGAAAAACATCCACTTAATTATTGTTTGCAATAGAAATTCAGGAAAAAGTAAGGGAATCCCAGCACAGTGGCACTGTTAAATGAACATCAGTCTTTGTGAAGTGAGCAGCATTGTTATTATTGTTAGCAAACTATTAAAATAATTTTCAATAACTGAAACGAAGCTAAAATAAAACAAATATTAGATGAAAATGTATTTAAATGTAAAAAAAAATAGAAACTTGCCTTGGCATCTAATTAATGAAAAATAAGTTCTAATAAGTATAAAAACTAAAATGACAAACTGAAATAAATATAAAAATTAAATAAAAATATTTTTAAAATACATAAAAATTACAAAAGCACAAAATTAATAAAAAAATAAAATTTTAATATAATAAAATAAACTGAAAATATAAAAATAAAAGCTAATTCAAAATATTAAAAACTATAACACCATGTCTACACCGGACACGACAGTTGTCGTGTCACGCCGCAACAGCTAAAGTCTGTCTACACTGGACACGACAAAGAGACTGTTGAAAATCATTTGAAATTTGTGTCAGTACGTCATAAATAGAACGCAGCAGCAGTTTACTGTCGGGAATTTGTCGCGCCGCGCCGCATCCAGTGTAGACAGCATAATAGGTTCTATTGTATTTTGTTGCGTCGCGCCGCTCGCGTCCGGTATAGACACGGTGTAACAGTATATAAATAATACTAAAATAATAGAGCAGATGTCAGTAAACCCTTTAAACTACATGCCTAAACTGTACCTAAACCTATATAAAGTTGTCTGGTGGAGAACAAATTTGAAGATAAAGAGCTGAAAGTTGCTTGTGCCTACTAAAAGCACTGTGTTTCTCCGTTTCTGCATCACTAGAGCAGAGCCGTGTCTCTGAGGTGGCAATGTAGCACATATATAGCCCCTTCAAGTGAATGCCCTTGGACTGCTATCTCTGATGGAGACGCGTTTAGTAAGGAACACACGCACGCAGCCAGACAGCATCTGCTCTGAATGCAGGTACAGAGTCCCCGCGGTCATCAGCAACAGGATGAGGGTGGACAATGAAGGGAACAGGCGAAGAGAGAACAGCTGCATTCATCAACTGCTGAGAGCACAACCAATCTGTGTCCTTCCATCTGTCTTACTGTGGTCCACCTCCAATCACCGGGTCGGCTCTTGCCAAACAGTCCTTCACTTTAATAAATTAGTGGAGTTTAAGTCTAATAAAGTCTTTTGCCTAACCAATCACTGGTTCATGAACTGACACTGATCAATCAATCAATCAATCAACCAACCACTTTCACTACTTTGTCTTTGGTCAATACCATTGAAATGTAAAGATTCTGAATACTATAGCAAAAACTAAACACAATTGAACACTCCATTAAGTAAGGTAAATAATATGATAAAATAATATATAAAATACATGTTCAAAAGTTTGGGGTCTTATAATAAGGCTGCATTTATTTGATCAAAAATACAGTAAAACAGTAATACTGTTAAAAATAATTACAATTTAAAAGAACCACAGAAATCACTAATATGCTGATTTTATATTATTTTCAATGAAAACAGTTCTGCTAATTAATATTTTTGTGGAAACTCCATTATTAAACTTGTTAATTAATTAATTAATTTTTAATTGCCCAATAATTTTGACAATCCTAATCCTAATAAATAAAATAATATTTTTGGATACTTTGAAAAATATTAGCACACCACACAGATCACTTGGTGAATGGTCCATTTAATACTGGATTTCACCTCTATTAAAACCTTTTCCTGTTCCCTTTTTCCTGTTTCTTTTTGTTAATCTCAGAGCTATTGCTATTTATGCATCTGCAATGCAAATACACATCTTGGTTGTGTGGTTATTGAGTTTCGGGAGGTGACGTCACTGTCATCATAATGTTTGGGGAGTGCTTCTGATGGCCTTGTTTGGCGTGCATGTTTGCCTAGGGCGTTTCTGTCAACACAACAAGGAACAGGTGATATTTGACACATGAAGCAGCACTAATGTCACACTTGCTGTTGACATCGATCAATGCAGACCTTGAAAGGCATGTCAGAGTGCCTGTGAAATCAAACTTTATTGTGCATTTATGGTGCAGATCAATATATTGTCACTCAGGACTTTCCCTTAAGTTTTATAGCTCACCTTCCAGAAGAAAAGAAAATAAGAATGGAGTGTGTTTCTCAAAACAACTCCAAATAAGGCAAGCATTTTTGTATAGACAGAGTTAGAGATTGGTTGTCGAGATAAGCTTGTAAATGCCACTTTCAGCTAAAGTTATATTTTTCCACTCACCCATGACTGTTAGGAGGAACTTCCTGCTGCTGATACCAGGAACCTTCTTCACCTTGCACTGATAGGTTCCTGTGTCTGTGGCTTTCAGACCCATGATGTTCATGGAGGCATCACCGTTTTTAGGGTCAGGGGAGTTGAAGTGGACTCTTCCTTTTAGAGGTTCATAGTAGTGTTCAAAGGCCCTGTCACCCGAGTACACAATCACCTGTGGGAAGGAACGAGAGATGACAAAAACAAGAGAATCATGTTTTAGTAAGCAAAACTCATGTATTGGTGAAATGTTACTCAACATTTCAATTTAACAACTCGTGGTGGAAAAAAAGTGCAGTGTAGGTATCAGTGAACGGTCAAACTAATGATCACATTCAGCCTAAAACCTAATGTTTCTGCTTTTGAAAGTCAGTTGGACAAAGACAAATACAGTGCTCCCTTTTGTCTTAAAAACATCCTTCAGCACAAGTGAATTATTTGCCCTTTCAATGCTACAACCTAAACAGTAGTGTTCTTGTTAGGCTACATCAACACCTTCTGTCACCAGAAGGTATATTTTAAATCATCAATACATGCTTCTTTCTCAAAATGCTACATTTTAAGGGACAGTACAGGTCTGTTTCTGGCTAAAAGACACATGCGCTTACTACAAACACAGATAAAGACATGCACAGACTCTTGTCATCCATGGAGGGAAAATATGGGATCCATTCAACAGACCCCATCCCCACCACTTAATTTCCATGACGATGGAGGGGTGACAGCCTCCCGTGGCTCTTGCTTCATGCGCAGCAGTCCTGAGAATGCACCTCAGGGCAATGGAGCAAGAGCTCGGAGACACTTAGAATCTTAATGAATGTATCAGACAATATTCAGGACACAGGGGAGAAGGAAAGAGAAAAAAATTATGGGGAAAAAGCAAGACCTCTCCCTCATTCTTACTCTTACATCCAAACATCTGCAGAATCTAAGAGCATCTTGTCCAAATTACCACTTAGTAAGCAGGCCTAATCCATGCCACCTGGAGTCTGCCAACAGGATTTCAAGGAAACAGCCAACAATGTCTATAAATCACTCCATGTCCAAACATAATAACTACAATATAATAAAAAAGGGATAAGAGCAACTGCCTGAAGCAACATCATACAGGCACTATAACGTACTTCAATTCAAAAAGTCAAAACAAAGTCTGTTCAAGGCAGAGAACAAAAGATACAAAATTAAAATCAGAGACGACACAACTGATGGACAGAACCAAATTCCTGCCCTATATTCTTTATTTTTCGATAATCTGTTACACTCAGACGTACGTTACAACACAGAAGAAAAGATATGCTATTTTCGTTTCATGATGACTTGGACACCCTCCATAGTTAAGACTAACCATTGTTAGTTAGTGTGTAGTTTCACCGCCATCTACAAGTCAAGGACACAGTGTCACTTGTTAAAATCAAAGTGTGCATATGTTTACTTGTGCATCTTGTTTAGACTTGAGTGTGTATGTGTATGCCTGTAGGTATATGCACTTCCTCCAGGGCTACATCAGGCTTATTTGAAATGCAAAGCAGCACTGAGTCACCTGTGTTAGAGATCAGTCTGCTTTACAGCCCAGGCAGTTTCTGTAGGCCTGCCTGTCTACATCAGTGTCTAACCTCACTGCACAACCACAGATGCTGCTCTGACCCACAGTATCTGCTACTGGAAACTAGTGCATGCCAACCACCACAGCCTTTACATTGCTAATCATACAGTACTAAAAAGTACCTTATTTTACTTCTTTAAATGCACATTCCTGGTCCAAAGAAAATTTGTTTGTAATCTGTATTTACAAATGTAGTGACTTGCCAGTTGCCATTTCCCTGAAATATCTTTAAATGTTAATGTAGTTAGTTAAAATGTTATTTAGGCATTACTTTAGCAAACTCACTTTATGCAACTTTTTTTTTTTTTTTTTTTACAATTCCAGATGGATAAAACAAGGTCCTCTACCTTTTATATTGTGAATTACTGATTTTTTTAAAGAATTTAATACTTTTTTCCAACAAGGATGTATTAAATTGATCAAAAGTAAAGTAATTTATCTTACAAAACATTTCCATTTCAAACAAAATGCTGTAATTTTGAATCTTTTTAACAGTGTTGGTATAAATTACGCCACAGGAATAAATTACAACTTAAAATATATTCAAATAGAAAACAGTTTATTTTAAAATTGTATTTCATAATATGAGCCATTTGTGAGCATCAGAGACATTTCCAAAAAAAAAAAAAAACTTACCCTCAACTTGTGAATGGCAGTGTATGTCATTATAATTAATAGCAAATGGCAATTCATGTTGAATTAAACTATTCAAATGAACTAGACACCTTTTCTCTGACTCAGATACAGACATCAAAACACAAATTTTCCAATCAATGCAAAAACAGCAACTGGGGTCATGCAAAACAATCTTATCGACTTTTTTATATGTAAAAAGGCAATGATAAAATCCCTGCATGTTTACTTCTATTTTCTAAATAATCCTTTTGTTTTGCGTTTCCCATTCACTCTCAGACTCAATCACAGCGTGGCTATTGTGCAATTGCTGGTGCCATGTAAGAGATTATGGAGCCACAATGCATGCACAGTAAGTGTCCCCCCCCAATTCCCATCCATTCTTCAATATAAATGCTAACACTAATGACAATGCAGTTTTGTATGGAATTCGTCAACAGCGTCCCACAAACAAGAGAATCATTCATGCTTCACTGTGTCCCTAAGACCTTCACAATGAATACAATCATTGGAAATTGGGTTCTGCATTCAAGGTTGAGTCATTGTTTAGTTCTTGCACTCAAAAAATAGGAACTGTTGTTGAATACAGGGGAAAATGTATTTTCCTACAAAAGGCAGCCTTGTGTGTTTGTGTAGTGTCAAGCCCTCTTCTTTTATCCTGGATCAAAAGTGAGAGATGAAAAAGAAGGGATGTGTCTAAGATAGACCAAACACTGACAAGTCAGTTGGTCTTTGTTTATAACTCCTCTTTAATTTTTTCTCTCATTTAGTAGCTTTTCAAGGCCAATCAGTGAAGGAAGAGCCAAAAATCCGTTAAGAGCCGTTATAAACTTTATATAACGTTTTTCTATTAATATACTAAATGGGTGCCCAGGAAATAATTATTGTTATCAAATTTGAAGACAGTTGCCCTGCTTAATATTTTTGTGGAAACCATGAAACATTTTATTTCAGGATTATTTGATGAATAGAACATTTATAGATTTAAATGCAAATCTTTTGTAACATTATAAATGTCTTTATTGTCACTTCAGGGCAAAGCATCCCATAGCCTATGTATAAATTTTCAATGATCAGAATTGGATTATACAAGAAAGCCATCAAAATATTTTAATACTACCATATGCAGGCCATTTTTGCCATTCGAAACCAAATGTAACTATGTAGCTAGATACTGTAAAAATAGTTGCAAAAGCAAGAGCACAATGCTGTGAAAAAGCATTCCAAAGAACTGGGGCATAATAAATGTTAGGAATATCTCCCAAAACACACACACAAAAATTGAAGTAGCCTGTGTCCAATCTTCAACTTCTTATAAACCATTAAAAATGATGAAGTGGGTCAAAGACAAATTTCAAGTCCTGGGGCAAAGCCTGGTAGAAAAGAGGGGGAAGAGTGCAGGTCTATACCCATGAGGACGATCCAGCAAACAGCAAACTGAGCAATTGAGGGGAACAGAAATGTGAGGAGAAAGGGAGAACGATAAAAATAGAATGAAAAATTAGGTGTAGAACGACAGAAGAAATGAAGGAGCTTTGAGAAGAAAAAAGATGGAGTAGAGAGAGAGCATGTGTGAGAGAGAGAGAGATAGCAAGAAAGGTGCAAGGATACCAAAGGGAGATCGACCATTGAGGGCTCCTGACCCAATTCTGTCCCCAGCTAAATGCATAATCTCTGGAGAGAAAGAGTATGAGGTAATCTCTGCATGAAGGGGTTGCAGCAGACAAGCACACATATATCTGGCTGCTCACTCTACCTGCAAGTCCAGTGTTGGGGCAAAAATCAGCCTTTTGTAAGAAGTGAGAGACAGTTTAATTACGGTCTATATTACAGAGATAGCACCTGTGCGGACACGGGAAAAAGCAGTGCCTCTGCAGACCACAATTCATAGAGAAGTTAAAGCGCTTAGACATACACACAAAACATCAATACATAACAATCAATCAACTAACTTCTGCCAAAACCAATAAAATTCAAATGCACATCCATGTGAGTAAAACTAGACCCTTAATGTAAAGCCACACACATATCCATCTAGGGAGCAACTTTACAGAGCACTAAAACAACACGACACGTTCATAAAACACCCAATGTGGTGAGCTGCGTTTCCCTCCGACAGATGTGGAGCTCACAAACCAGAACCTGCTCGCTGCAGATCAAAGCAGGTAAAATGTACAATGAATGGTCAACCTTCAAGGACAATCACACGCAAAAATACCTCCAATACTTGATTTCTAAACAGATCTTAAGTGGGATGCTCACTAAATATTGCTGTTTAATCATTTGGGATTCGAAGTTTGGTTTTCTGATAAAAACTGCAACCTATTTAGTGGCCAAAAATTGTTTGATTATATATTAATGACTAGAAAATAATATTAATTATAATAATAATAATAAATATTAAATATAAATAAAATAAATTTTACTATCATATTTCAGTGTAACAAAGTCTTTAAGAAAAAAAAAACTATTTCTAATAATAATTTATCAATAAAATTACAATACTAGTGTTTATGTCTCTTAATTTCCCAATTGCATGTTTTTAGTGACCCAAACTCATAGATGCAAAGATTTCCTTCGAACCTCTGTGACACTGAAACCACCAGATCGTGAGCTGCTTGTGTGTGAACATCAAATTAAAAATCATATAGCTTCTGATTGGTTAGATTCTGATGTTGTTTAAAACTCTAGCTAGAACGCTGTGTACAAGTGTGGCAGTAGGAATGTTACTGTGTTGCTTTGCACAACAGAGGCAGTCAAACTAGTTCTGAGAGTTTGTGTTTTTGCTGAAAACAAGAACATTTGACAGGAAGAGAGGCGATGGAGCACAAGGGACAAAGTCAGACTAAACCTCCCAGAGGCTTTTGAATAATGCAGACATCAAATATGTTTTCCCCAAGCACATAAAGAAACAGTCTCTTTCACACAGACACTAACCATATCTCATAACCTGATACACGATCACATTGTCTACTCACCACTTCCTCTTTTTTCTGGTTGTCAGAGGGCTGCAGGCTCCACTCAATGTCCAGAGGCCCAGAATCCTCAGCAGCGAGAGTATACTGACAGTCCAGCTTCACAGTCTGTCCACTGGCTTTCTCAATGGATGTGGGGCCAGTGGAAGTGATCTGTAGTCCATAGGCTAGGCCTGAGAAGAGCAGAAAAGATCACGCTTTCAAACTAGGGCTGTGCGATATTGAAGAAAAATGCAATACCTTGTTAAAAAATGCGATATTCGATATGCGATACGATATTGCTTAAAGTGTGTACAATAAATTTCAATTACATTTTAAAATATTTAAAAATTAAAATTATATAACCAATTTGTTTCACATTCTTTCTTGGAAAAGAAAGAATCACTACAACTTCTGAAAGTGACCAGCAGTGTTTTAGCA